CATTGTTTGGGATTTTTTTGCCTTTCTCGTGGAGTTAAATTTTGGCATTTTTTGTTTTGTGTTTTTGCCTCGTGTTGACCTTTGGGGAAGAGCGGTGTTCTCTTTTCGGTGGGTTTGCCCGATTTTTTGTATGTTGTGGTCTGCGCTACCGACCGTTTCCTAGTGTCCCTCAGATCCCTCTAAGGGGTCGACTGGGTTTGTTTGGTCCCTATGTGGCAGGTAACTTGCGTGTATCGTATCAGAGCTAGTTCCAACAAACTGATGTGTCTCAGGTGTGTTCGCGATATCATGGGCATGATGTTCACCGTGAGGACAACCCCTTGACAATAAGGTCGTGCTGTACTCCTTCCCGCGTTTCGGTGGTGGAGGGAAATTAAAAAATGTGTACAGTATTGGAGTACAGCAGCAGTAGTGTTGCGGCCTTCAATTGACGTGTTGTCGCAGTTTTTAAGCAGCACAATTTCGTGGTCGCATTCCTGCTTCAAATGCGCGTATTTTGACACATGTTACACCTCCATTGACCCCGGGGACGGTGAGTTAGTGGCCCCGGAATCCTAAAGACACTTCCCCGCGTTAAAGACACTCCAAAAAAAAAAAACGCGGTGTGTCTTTAAAGCGTGGTCGACTGTATAGGGATACCTCGCAAAAAAAAAAAAACGGCATCTGACTCGGGGGCGTTTGTAAGACTGTTTCCAATCACATATCACAATTTCAGGTTCCAATTCGTAAAAACCGGCTCGGAAATCGCTTCTAACCATTTCGTTGACTTCTTGGCTGGCCCAGCTTGTAGTTGATTCGNCCGCGTTAAAGACACTCCAAAAAAAAAAAACGCGGTGTGTCTTTAAAGCGTGGTCGACTGTATAGGGATACCTCGCAAAAAAAAAAAAACGGCATCTGACTCGGGGGCGTTTGTAAGACTGTTTCCAATCACATATCACAATTTCAGGTTCCAATTCGTAAAAACCGGCTCGGAAATCGCTTCTAACCATTTCGTTGACTTCTTGGCTGGCCCAGCTTGTAGTTGATTCGTCTCGGCGGCTGCTGCACTCAACACAGCTGCATACTAACACTGCTGTTGTTGTTCAACCTATCCACGCACACACATGCTGAACTCAACCTCTGCCTAGATCTCTGCAACCGAACTAGTACTCAACACATGCCCACTTGACCTTTGCCCTTGCCCGGTTAGCGCTCTCTTCTCTGAACTCGTGGGGTTGACACAGAGCCCCTTACCACGCACAGAAAATTCGGCGCTCTTTCGAAATTTCTGAAATGTAAGAAAAAGAGCGAACGATGCCTGCTGATTGGATGGTGCAGACAGTTCCACCCCTGGGTGCAAGTGCAAAGCTGCCTTCCCACTTGAGCCGTCTCTTGTCTGTAATCCCTATCAAATGTCCCCTCGAATCGAGGGGACATTTATAGACAGCAACTGGCGGGAGCGTGGTAAACGGGGCACGAAAAGGAGGTTTTCAAGATATTTCTCTAGAGGGAAAGCGAGACATTTTAACCCAAGCCCTAGGTTGCCCGGTGCCTCCTATCAACGGTGGGCTAGGTACTTCTTCCGCGCTTGCCCCTAGTAGCGCTTTCCACCCAAGGGTAGACAGACGCGGCGCAACTTCGCTGTTGAACCCGCGGCGTAATCGCCCCCCGATTCGACCTGTTCATTACCCTTATACTCCTCCACTCTTCAAAGCATCCATACTAAACTAGAGTCGTCCCCGTGTACCCTGGCACCCCCCTGGTCGAGTGGTTCAAAGGAGGAGACAATCGTGCCATTCTTCACGAGGTAAAGCAGGTGAAGAAGATGTCGACAAAAAGTGTCCCCAAAAGGCGATCTAGCCCTAAAGGGTTTAAAGCAAACACACACGTCATCTCGGAGAACAGATAATTACGCCGCATCTTAAAGCCAACACACCATAAAACGGGGACAAGGTCCAAACAGCCCCTGGAACGAGCCTGCTTCGTACCACATTCATTCCCCCACACTGCTTTTTGGCATAATGGGAAATATTCTGATATCTCCAAAAAGCAATCCAAAAACATGAATTCCTCAAGAGAAACCGGCGTCCAGTACTATTTCCGTACTGAAACTGGTACAGTCTCGATCGCATCAGCTGTAAACCTTCAACAAAATTCCAAAGATCAACATTTATCCGTCTCGACCGCCGCGGCAAGGCAGTAATATTCAAAACCCCATGGAATTCACTCCATCCGAAGCGGAAACTCGTTTACACTCACGACACAAGCCCTCAGCATTTCATCCCCTCGGGCCCAAGTACCCCCACACAGACCACCATACACGAATTCCAAGAAAATTCTTGATCCTACCGTCTGCCGTCAAGAATCCATTTTACCCCGTGCCGGGCTACCGTGTTTTTGGAAACGACAACCGGCATCAACCCCAAAAAATCCCGGCCAAACAACCTTTACCTGACTTGCCAATGCCTGATCACTACGAAAGTTACTGAACGAAAGCATTTTTGTCCCCGGTAATTAAGACGTCGTACTCACCTCTGAGAAAGGCGGCAACGAACCCCTGTGACCCTCTCAATCGGACATTTGACTGTTGAAATCGGCGCTACCCGACGGTGCACACCGACCCCCAAAAGGACTCCCGACAACTAAATCAATCGCTTCACGTTTTTTTGTGACTCACACCCCAGCTTTATGAAGCTATGAAATCCACCCGAGAGACATTCATGCATCAACGATCCTTTCATCAAAGATCCTTTGACTAATTTCTTCCCCACGCGTGTCTGATATACGCGCACTCTCCCAACACAAGGCTGAAGCTGAACTTTTTCACATATACACAGCACATTGACAAGGACAAACATTTTCACAGCACTTGACAAGGACGACAGCACTTTGACATAGACACAGCACATTTTCAGTTTCAGCTTCCTTGCGGAATATTTATTACAGGAGAGCAGGTCATACGGGAAAAAGAAAAGCCAACGAAACTTGCTGTATTGCCTACCCTGGAACTCCAAAGTTCACCGAAGGATGACCACCATGAGAACGATATCATGGCGTTGAAACAGAGCTTCGAAGGCTTCCTGGTCCAAATCGGTGGAACCATAACGAATCATTGACCCCCTATCCTAGAAGTAAAGCACGACGGCCTTCCCTTCGAGGACTCAAACATTCCCGGACTTCCCACCCGCAATGACCAAGGCACCAACAAACCAACCAAAAATTTTGAACCGAACTTCCTCGAGGCGGGGCAGCCAACCAATTTTTCAGCAGAAACTTTCAAGTTTCTACCGAACACAGGCTAATTTTGAAAGACCTGTGCCTCTTCCCCTCATCCTCCCGAAAAAGGACGGCACGTCGCTACCAAGACCTCAGAGCCAAACAGCAACAACCGACACACAACACCGGAAAAAAAAACATAATCGGCATCAGAAGGCAACACCAAAGACAAAAAATCAGGAGCACACACACAACATCCACAAACAAAAAAAATCGAAGGGCGCCGGCGAGGTCGTATGAATTTACGGAAAGCGCCGACGGGGTCGTTTGAAGGTGCTCGAAGCGCCGACGAGGTCGTAGGCAGTCGTACGAAGCGCCGTCTCGCTCTCCCCTTCCACCTTGAAAAACCTTCGAGGTGCCGTCTCGCTCCCCCCACCACCACGAAAATCCCGCAAGGCGCCGACGTGCTCGCCTCTTCCGCCACGAAAATTCTCCAGCGCAGCACTCTCCGTCCACCAGGACAAAACCTCCTTCACAGCGCTCCTCGTCCACCACGACGAAACCTCCTTCACAACGCTCCCCTTCCACTAGGACAAAACCTCCACCACAGCGCACCCCTCAGGTCCCGTTCCGCCGGACGCTCCCGGACCGCATGTGCACCAGAAAGCACCATGGGCCAGGGGGACCATCGACCGCCGTACAATATTTCGCCGGCGACGGCGACACGTTGAAACGCCGCTCGAGGTCGACGAAATCGACGTTGCACGGGAGGTCCTCCTCCCGCGCCCTTGAAACCTGATGCACCACCCCGAGAACGGGGACAGCCGACAGAGATGCAAGCGGCTAGCGTTAAAAGCGATCGCTGGCGCGGCGCCGTTTGCGTCGCTATCTTAAAGATCGGCCAACGGGGAAGCCGACGGCGGGGAACAACTCTTCTCTTTCCACTCCGTTGTCACCCAACCGATTTGGTGGGATGGTACCACCATCGCGTGGCTAGGTTTCACCTACGGCGGGTGGATTTGGATTTTCGGCAGTCACTGGAAGCACTAGCAACGCGCTGGATGCTCGCTACGCTAAACAGTAACTACCCCGGGGAAATGGGCTTACTACCGCAGGCGTCGTCTTGGACGCCGGTTTTCTCACGGCCGCCAACTTCCCGTGATTTTCTATACTACTTTCGGTTCGGGTTTCGGATTCGGTTCGGGTTTCGGATCGGTTTCGAGCTGCAGGCGTCTTCTCAAAATGGCGAGCTGTTGCACCACGGATCAAGCGGTCAGCTCCCTCTTCTCTGCCGCCCACAGCCCCAGGACACAAGACCTGTTCGGCGAAGTCAATTACACTCAACCTCGTACTGTGCACTCGGTCAATCGGCTTCGATTCGGGTTTCGGGGTCGGTTCGGGTTTCTGTACTACTCTAACTGGTAGTTTTTCGGGCATCGGTGTTTTACTACTTCCCGATAAGTAGGTCGGCGTCTTACCACTATCCGACAAAGTAGGTGGGGAACTACAGTGGACGGCTCCCCGCCCCTCTCAGCACAAAAAAGGTCGGAAATCACCAGACGTGTCAGACTGCGGTAGCGACGGTCTCCGCCCGTCCCCACCACCGTAAGGTTCCGACGGTTCCGTCACCAAGAGGCGGAACCTCTCGGTATTGACTTCCTATTTTCCAGAGTAAGAAGGGTGTCTCACCTTTACCATCTTGGTATCGGATCGCGGAACGGCCCGAACGCCGTNACAAAGTAGGTGGGGAACTACAGTGGACGGCTCCCCGCCCCTCTCAGCACAAAAAAGGTCGGAAATCACCAGACGTGTCAGACTGCGGTAGCGACGGTTTCCGCCCGTCCCCACCACCGTAAGGTTCCGACGGTTCCGTCACCAAGAGGCGGAACCTCTCGGTATTGACTTCCTATTTTCCAGAGTAAGAAGGGTGTCTCACCTTTACCATCTTGGTATCGGATCGCGGAACGGCCCGAACGCCGTCGGATACACGTCCTCGTATGGAGAGGGCGGTATCAATCTCCTCGCGGGCACGGCGCACGGCAGCAGGACGGGCTGCGGTGACAGCACCGACTGTGACCCAGCGGGGTGACCGCGTGGAGACGACTCACGTGGCGAAGAGTCGTACTGCAAACGGCAAGATGGGTAAATCCCCCGTGATGACTCGGACGGGCCAACCCCAGGAGATTCACTGGGCGAGGTAGAAGGGAGACGGGCAATGGGCGTGCCCAAGGAAAAGGGTCTACTAGAACGAGAGGCTGACACGCGACAAGTCGCGCAGCCGGAACCAACCGAATTGCGAGTACACATTGCCATGACGCAGACGCGAAATACTACAGCGGTACTTCAAACCAAAAGCCAACAACAACCAACAACGTAACGGATCTCGCACCCACGGAAGAAACAAGCGCCGAGGACGCCAATCCTGCCGACGACGCCAATGCGATACTTGGTATTCGGGTTCTGTTGATGACCCAACTACCTATCAAATGCAGAGCAGTGCGGCTCTGCATTTCCAAGGTTCTGCGCTAGGTTCGAGGTTCTTGTCTCTTTTGGATGCTTGATTATATTTGCGGATGTCGTCGAGGAAGGGAATGGACAGATAGCTGTTGAGGGAACTTGTTGTTGATTCGTCTTCCAGCGGCTGCTGCACTCAACCCGTCTGCATACCAACACTGACTCTGACCACAACCTCGTGCTTACGACCGTCCGCCTCCCCCCCCGTGTCGCACCCAACTGACGAGTGCGGGGGAACAGCGGAAGCAGCCGGATCCGTATCGACCTCGAGCGGTTGAGGAAGGACAAACACCTACGGGTCGCCTTCCAAAACAGGGCCTCCAGCCGCCCTCCGTCCACGGCGCTCAGGCGGCCAACGGGAGAGACCGCCGCCGAGCTGACGGCTACGGTGATGTCGGCCGCTGCTGAGACCGCGCCGCTGGCGAGCTGCGCACGAGGGCAGAGAGGCTGGTACACTAGCGAAGCGCAGCACGAGATCTCCGAAACGTCTAAGGAGAAAAAGGCGGCCCAGCAGCAACTGCCTGGGGCCTCAAAGAACANGCTCAAGGCGGCGCGGAAGAAGCGCAGCATCGCGAGGTGGAGAGCACTGGAAACGTTCTTCGAGGGCTATGTACGGCAGCTCGAGAAGAAGAGCCGCGAGGGGGATCAGGCGGGTTTCTACAGGCACCTGAAGATGATCGACGTCGAAGGTAAGACGTTCACCTCTCAGAACATCAAGGACGAGGACGGTAAGGTCCTTCGGGACCCCACGTGTATTCGCCAACGGTGGGCACGGTGGTTCCACACGCTTCTCAACATCAAGCCGCCGACCATCGACCTGCATGCGGCTGACAAGGTCAAGCGGTGGCCCACGTGCGTGCCACTCGACGACATCCCATCTCTACTTGAGGTTGAGGAAGCGGTACGGGAAATGGCCAACAGAAAGGCCGTCGGGCCGGACGACCTACCGGCTGAGCTGATCAAGCTTTTCCTGGACGGAGATCAAGGTCTCCTCCGCGAGTTCCACGCCATCGTCGTGGACGTGTGGCAGACTGGGGACGTACCACAGCAGTGGAAGGATGCCACCATCAAAGTGCTGTTCAAGAAGGGGGACACGATGGAGTGCGGCAACTACCGGGGCATCTCTCTCGTCGCACACGCCGGCAAGTTGCTGCTTAAGGTCGTCGCTACACGACTGAGCCACTACTGCGAGCGAGAGGGCATCCTCCCGGAGGAGCAGAGCGGTTTCCGCCCACACCGGTCGACGCTCGACATGCTGTTCGCCATCCAGCGGCTCCATGAGCTCGCGAGGAAGAAGAGTACTGCGGTGTTCGCGTGCTTCGTCGACCTCACCAAGGCATACGATTCGGTGGACCGAGACCTACTGTGGGACGTGCTCCGACGCTTCGGCGTGCCCCCGAAGATGCTGGCGGTCATTCGCCACTTCCACGAGGGCATGAGGGCGCGCGTCCGAACGGACGACGGGCAGTACTCGGAATGGTTCGACGTGGGCCAAGGCCTCTGGCCCCGCTGCTGTTCAACTTGTTCTTTGCCGCGATGCTCATGGTCGCCGTGGCCGAGTTCGACAAGGACCCCAAGGTGACGGCGGACATGGTCAAGATCGGGACACAAGTGGAGTACACGGGCAAGAAGGGCAGGTCGGCGGGGAAGAAGACGACGGTGGTGACGGACGCGGAGGTCTTGTGGGCCATGCTCTACGCTGACGACGCGGCCATCGTCTCGTGCTCACCGTAGTGTCTCGAGAAGATGATGTCGGTCATCGTGCGCGTGGCCGGCCTGTTC